TGTGTGTGTGTGTGTGTTTATTTTAAAGTACAGAATTTTTGCGATATATAGTAAAACTTTTTTTTGTTAATAACTTTTTAACGAAGGACGAGCGACGGCTAAAACCTGTTGGAGGTTACTCAGAGTTATGACCTTGACAATATATGTCAAGGTCGAGGTCATTGGGGGGGGTCCCCTAATCGGAACATTTGCCTTAAAACTCATCATACAAAGAACTAAGGAATTGCAAACCGAGGTATGCCGAGATATGCCTTTTTCCAATGCTATGTTATCAAATAATGACACATGCTGTTATTTTCTATACTAGACATCGCATACGCGCGCTTCGCAAGCGCTACTTGGCCTTCAATGTTTTTACATATTACTATATTTAAATGTTTGCATATTTAAGTGCATACAATTAATATTAAATTGTTACTATTATACTATTAATTCCTCGATACACACAATTGTCAAAATATGCAATGACAACTGTTCACGAAGTAAACGCAATGAGAGAACTAATCGACATCGCGGAAAACCAACAATAATGAATTTCGATTTTTTTAAATGTCTTTTAAAAAAGTGGACTGTATCTAATTATAGATAGAGCGAGATATTTCCAAGAAATACAAAAATAGGACGGTACATTTAATCGAAGGTGTAAATACGTTGTAGATATTAAACAAAGGAGAAAAAAATTGTTGAATTATATATCAAATGTTAATAAATAATACATAAAGATAGTACGACTTTGCTATTGTTAATATATATAATCTTTCTGCTCTGTTGTGTAATATATATAATCCTTTTATTCCTATACATTCTAAATATATTACCTTGGTAGAACAGATTTAAGTAACGGTAGAGAGAACGAGAAAAATAAATATAAATACTACAATATGATTATAATCGTTGTTGATTGTAGCGTGACCTCTTACATATCTCTAAAGATGTGTAATTTGTAAGAATAATCAGTACTTTCTTTGGTATCCGAATTTTATCGGCCTTTACTCATACAACATATTTCTAAAGGACATTCTAAAGACATCCAGAGAACGTTCTAGCCTAAGAAAGTGTGCTGTGTAAGAATAGAATTTTTTAACATATGTATAAGTCATGAATTTAAGATATTGCGAGTCATTTCTCGAAAGTTAAATCTTACAAAGTAAAGCGAATTTTTTGTTTCTAAACGTGATCAATGCTATTTTTAAAAAACAATATTTTTTATGAATTACTCTTATTGTAAAATACGTTTATATAATCATGAAAAGATTCTGCACAAGTCTCCATGGTGACGAAGTACAAACTGCTTTGGTAGTAGGGCAAGGATATCTTTTCAGACACTCAGCTAACGAACGATCGCATTCGCATAAACGTTGAGCACAAGATCCTGATCCGCCCCAACTGCCATGCTCAGCCGCTGTAATAAAAGATTTTACGAATCGTTTTATTTCATTATAGCTTTATTTTCACTTTATTTACGTATAGCATAAATAAATAAGTCAAGTTTGGTTTATAGAAAAGATGTTATGTTGGAATTATTTTTTTTAAAGCGAAGGAAATTGTATTGGCTCATAAGGAAAAGATTAAATGAATAATTATCAATAAACAAACCACAAACAGGTTTATAACCGCGATAACATTTCCAATAATATGGTATAAAGTATTCCGAGAACATAGGACATTCTGTAGCATCGTAACACCAGTCGTGCATTTTGCAGCATCTGGAACATTACATTTAATTTATTTCTTGTGAAGAAAAACTCGTGGTTGTAAATGATGTGATTGGCTTTCCTACAGATGTAAATAACGTACTGGTCGATACCATCGATGACGTAACCGGATCCCAAGAATCCGCAGTAGCAACCATATCCTTTGTAAGCTAAAGGATTACATCCCGTAGCGCATACTACCATATTATAAAGATGTATTACTCCTCTTTTGAATCTCGTATGGCCCGTAGTCTCCTTTGCATTTGTTCTGAAATCGCATAATTATGTCAGCCTAGATAACATGTATATCTTTTTAAAAACATCTTTAAGCTTTACCAAAAGCTATTTTTTAAAAAAGTTAAAAAAACATTCAATTTATAATGATAAATATTAAACGAAGTGTTTTTAAGACTGTAATGTGAATACACATCTAGGAAACGCCTCATATGGGTTTTATAAAAGTATTTTATAAAAAACAACATAAAAAAGAACTTTTTAAAAAATAAATTAAAAAAAATTTTTTTGAGCAATTTTTTATAATAATAATTATGTAAACCGTTCGATTGTTTGACACAGAAAAAATATCAAAAGTAATGACCAATAAACGGGCAAAATAAGATGTTATATTAATGAATTAATATATATTTGAGATTCTGCTTCAATAAAATTGCATACAAAAATATTAAAACGTTTCAACTCATAGAGTCTTCTTCAGTTATAACTGAAGAACTTTAGTTTATAAACTATTTTTACTTAGCATACATATATGTAATAATATGTACGGCTACTTATATCATTGATTGTAACATGTACAACATTAAAATTAAAGTGCATGGCTAATCTGGATATAACACAGTTGAAAACGTTATCTTGAAAAAATAATGTATTACCGTTACAGTTACTTTTTGTTAAAATATTTTGTAAATATTTATTTTTCATTAATTATGCATTTGAGAAAATAATTCATTAAACATATAATGGTAATAAGGCTCAATAAATTAAAATTATCAAAAAGAAATAGGATTACGAGCCATAGGTCAATCAACATAGTCTAAATTAATAAAACAAACATAAACATAACAGAATAAACTTTAACAACTGCTGGCAATAAACAATACAAACGTTTCGATCCCTATCGGATCATTATCAATGTTGGAAAAGAATACAAAAACAAAGAAAATATATAGAGGGAGAAAATGATTTTAGTAAACTTTCTTTAAGGAGGTTATAAAGCAAATGCAATATGTTAAGAATTACTTGAAAAAATTACAGATTATTCTAAATTGCATTTAAAAGTAATACAAAAAAATTAGAGACAGTTGACTATCTGGATTAAAAGTTATTTCCATAAAAAGTAATATGTTTTAAATTTGTACTTTAATAGAAATATATGAAACTGTATTACAAAATAATGATAAAAATCTCAATTTTTTTATATAAGTACTATATGCATTAAAAAATATTTATGTAAAGTTACATTGAGATGAAGACATCAATTATTCAGTAAATAAACAAAATATTTA